TGAGTATTTACTAGCACTACATTTACTCGATAAGGTTCGTATGTCCTGAACTTGCTGTCATTTGTTCAATTATTTGCTGATATTCGATTGTTGGTTATCCGATCGCAAATTTATCAATATCACTGTGTTTGACCACTATTATGACAACATTTTCTTTTGAAAGGTTGTTATCATTTCTGGAAACAAGAAGGAAATCATCAAAAATCTTTTATTGATCGCATGAATGATGAGTATGGATTTAGACAGAGGTCGTTACATAGAGCTGCCTGTTGTTTCAGTGCATTTCATTCGGATTTGACTATCATAGTCATGGTATTAGAAGTAATGATAGATAAATTAGATAAATCTTATGAGTTATCAGATTATGGATGCGGCAGGATCAGATAAAACAATTTGCTTGCAAAGGTTATCGAAAACGATCACACAACTCGACTGGAATGGTTTTAGTGGAATCATCAGTCTGGTTGTTAAAGGTATTTGCTAAACTTTATTCATTTTTTCTTCTATCTGAAATTATGTTCAGTTTTGTTGACAATTACAAATGAATTTTGAGATTGAGTCGTCTTGATTGTTACAACTAATCCAATGCATTAAGATAAGTAAAAATTGAAATGAGGTTGCAGGTGCAGTGATTGCTGCAGGCTATGAGCTGTCGTTGTCATTGCTGGTGAAATGTATCGAGACGATCGAAGAGCCTGCGATAAGCTGCTCAAATTCAATTCCGTTGATAATCACGTCGGCTCTTCCGTACCTCATGCATAATTTCGAATCACCCACACCGCTGTGTATCAGTGTTGCTTCCACTCTGTCATCAGTTAGTTTCTTTTTTTACGATGACTGTTTTAGACACTCTCATATCGAGTTGAATAAATATTTCAGTTGGATACGTATGTAACTTTCAAATAACGAATTCAAAAAGAAATATTTATAAATGCTCATAACGCGATCATCGTTCATAATCTCCCAACTAATTGCGTTTTGTGCATTCGGCAATTTTTAAACTTCTAATGATAGCTCATTGAAAGGGGTGGCAAAAATACTCATTTTTCAGTATTTATCAGCAAAATTCCAACCCGTGGAAGGTGAAAACGATGCAACTGACAGCCCAATCATTCATCTTTCTGCAGTAAGTTTGATGAATTCATTAACCGAAAAAAAACTTTTATAGTTGAAATTGTAATCGTTCGAATCGTCTCAGCATGAATCATTCTATTTTGATGTTTATTTCGAGGGAAAATTCAATTTAGTTCCTACGTTATTCTCGTTATTTGAATGCCGAAGTCCATTTTTATTTCAAAACGTTTTCGTTCCAATTTTCTAATTTAAACTTTTGTTTCATTTATGCAAGATCCTCCCGAATTATTTGTGATAAAAATTGTGAAATTGAAAATTGTTTATTGAGAATGAAAATATTGTTAACGGTCCCTTAAAGTGACTGAACGCTAAGATTAATAAAATGTACAATAAGTACATAATTTGTATACATCAGCAACATATTGGCCGCAGTTAATTGTTGTGTGTTATTAGAATGAATAAGCGATGTAAATGTCTTGAGGTGTATGTCTAATGCTGAGATAAGAAGACAGAAGCGGTATTAGAACACATCTGAGAATACAACATCTCACATCCACCTGCGATTTCATCTCCGATTACACGTAACGTAGCCAACCGCCTTATGCTAACCGCTTTACAATATGATGCGCATATTATGTCTAAATCCGCTTATATCAAGCATCTGTTGATTGATGATGTTCAGTTCTATTATCCGTATGCAAATGCACACATAAGAGCATGCTTATAAAGTATATTAATAAGTACTTTTGGCCGTGATCAATTAAAGTTTCCGAAAATCGTTCGAAACAAAATATTTTTTAAAGGTGTTTGAATGAAGTGTGTAAGCAGTAAAATTATCGGTTCTTTTCCATGAACAGTCTAGGTAATGTGAATCGAAAGTTTAAAGTGAATAGTTTCATATTTTCTGATGACATTCAAAATAAAATTTGAAATATTGCACCGTTTCAACTGAATCGATGTAGAGTAAAGTATTGTATCGGCTTTTAAATTAGTTGAATTCTATCCCTCATCATAAGCACGTTATTATTTCCCTCATTATTAGTGTTTGACATGAACAAACCGAAAATGATTTATTTATTTATTTAAAGTAGCATTTGACACGGTTGCTACACTCGAGCATATTGACCCATCGCTCTAATCGTCATCACTAACCGTTTTTAATCGGTAAAGTAATCTAATTTGAACGTGCACATTTCCTTTTAGATGATGCGACAATACGCTGAACGCTGTTTCTCAAGAGATCGTTTCCAGTGGGCCAAATGCGTTCTCAAATATTTGTGTGATGCATTAACTCCTGATATTATACAGCTTATCGTACTTCTGTCTGAGGTCAGTCCTATCAGTCTTCATTCTTTTCTTGAACATTATATTTGCTTATTATCATCAGCATTATTGAAATTGCTTTAAATTGGTACGGCTCGAAACTTACAAAAACAAAACACCAATACAACTCAGAAATATGGAATCAAAAGTTGTCGAATGAATCGACATGAACAGTAGAAATGATAGTGGTAGATGTATGATGAGATTATTACTTAATTACGTACTGGAGGGTGGCAATAGGGTGACTTCGCTAATGAGTATCCTTATTTGAACATGGTCCGCATTCACTTCTGTCATCAGTGTTAAGCTCACAGATTGTATTCACTTTGGACTATTCGACTATAAGTTGACGTTGCCGCCTTGATTAACTTTTCAAACGCAGCGAGTTTAAGATCGGTTTTAATTTGTTCTCTCCATATCAATCGCCTTCTGTCGCTTGTCTTTCTCCAATCCGGAGATGATGGTTCATGCAGAAGCGATAGTTTTATTGTCATGATGGGATTATTGTGATGGATTAGTTAATGAAGCATTTTTATGACAGGATATTTGAATGTTGATATTTGTACATGAATTGGTCCCTGAAAGACAGTTTTGATGAAAAATAATAACTATATGGTTAGTTAGTGAGTTGATTGAGAGTCTATATGGAGATGATGAAGAAGGCAACACATATTCTGATGGTTTTATTAGATGCGACAGCGAGTGATGTGCTGCTGTTTGAATGTATTTTATCATACCGAGAACTATCAACTGGTGTCATCCGAGTGGAGTTGATTATGCGATGTATCCACCACTCATTTATGATGTCTCTTTGAGGGTTGTAAAATGCGTGTTGATTGCATGTGGAATGCATTTTATGGCGTTTCCGCTGCCGCTTTTGCATTCACAATCGTATTTTCATTGAGAATTAAAGCGATTTTTTGATGGGTCGATTTCAACTCACATGTGCATATTAAGTACAACAGATATAATGCGCAGATAAGATTGTGTAGTCACACACACAGATGTGCGGATTGTGTTAAATGCACATTTTTATTATCTGATGATGGAATAATGCATTTTATTGTCTTTTCATTGAAAAACACCGACAGTGATATTTGGCTATGATGATGTCAATTTGTATGATGTGGATGAGCATGAGGATGTGTCATCAGTGAGATTTATTGCATGAGCATGGCCTTTATAGCTGGAAATGTATCGAATGAAGACGGAACGGTCATTTCGATGCGAAACGTGACGCTTCCGACTGAAAATTGTGTAAATGAACTCAATAATGAAGTGGTTCAGTGAGGTCGTAATCAGCTATAGATTATACATGTGTAAAGAGTAATATTATCACTCATCAGTGATTCAGTGCTTTTATGATTCACGCATAACATTTCTCAAATCGATGCTTATCCGCAATATTTGAGTATTTATGGTCAGATACTGTACTTAGAGGAACCAAATCAACTACTGTGACCACATTTGACTATATGAAGAGTCCCGCATCGTTGCTATTATATTCTCACGACACTTCTTTAACAATAACATTTCTTCTGCATTGAATACTGTCTCGCAACTACTTTGTTTTCCTCTCTGAGACAATCATCAAATGCATCATCCTTAAAACTGCTCTAATAAAGAGAGTCGAATGAATGAACAATTCGATTCGAGTCACTAAACTCATAAAGCAATTATCGTATCAATACGCAACAATGCAGCAATCAAAAGAGAACGTGTTACCGATTTAATTGACTGTTAATAATATCACCAATTAAATAAATTTTGTCTATGCACACTGCATTTTTTGAATTTTATTTTTTGTTGACAAAGTTTAATCCAAAAATATTTGACAGTATGATTTTTAAACGCCTAGCATAGTTCTATATGAAAAAAGGCTGATGTCCTGTATGAGCAACTAATAAGTTTGAATTGAACTAGTTCTGAAGGAGGTAATTCGTAATTATTAAAGAAGGGATTTGTGATGTGAAGCCGAATCTCTGCATCATTATTTGTTGTCGGTGAAAATAATCGTCGAAAAACACGAAGTTGTTTTGAACAGGTGAAAAAAAGTTAAGCGGGCGGATCGATTCGACGAACGAACTTGAAAGAATCGTTGTAGAGAACAAGTGACGGTTGCATTAAGGTATATCGTGATTTTGATGAGATCTTTTAAGGTCATTATGGCAGTTGTATCAGTGACCATAATAACAATAACAGTAATTGACGCATATGACGAACAGCGCAGTGGCGTGTAGTTTATAGTGATGATACGATAAAATTTCAAAGAGGAACCGCACCACTAGATTGATCGATAACGCAATTAAGTTGGTAAAGTTGAGTGATGCTGATGAGTTACGATCACGTCAAATTAAATCAATTTAATTATCATATCTGACATCTCGCAGTGTGTATCGATACCCTGTGACAGGTCAAATTACCGTTAATAGCAGCAATATATTGTACGGCAAGAGTTGATTATTTGAGGATGTGTTGTCGCATGCATTTTCTTCGAATATCACCATCCTTATGGATGCCGCAGTATCGTGTTTCTTGACTCATTTTAGTTGTTTGTGATGGCAAACAATTAATTTACTCTATCAGAATAGAGGATGAAACATTCGAAAATGCACGAAATGAAGATACAGTAAGTGAGTAAATGATACAGTAATACAGTAAGTGAAATGAAGTCACAAAAAAAACATTTCTGGATGGTATGATGTCAAAGATTTTGCCAGAAATGATGTTCTGTAATGAGCATTAATTTTCAGATGTTAGAACGATGCACAGTAACATTACACATGTACGTTCTGCATAGCATCTATCTTCTGCTATGTCACGGTGATCTGTCAAACTCATCACCAATACCGTTCAACGCTCAGGTTTGAATTGCTTTCTGAAATTTCACTTCAACTGCACACATGCTTATTTTTGTACATGTTTCTTGGAGTTAATTGCAACGTTCTCCAAAATGATGGTATTTTTAAATTCATTTTTGTATGCAACTGTGATTAGATAGTCCTTGATTAAGATGATCGTACACTTCATAAAATGGTATTCTAAAAGAAATTGTACGAACTGTGTGATGAAGAATGTATGGTGGTGTAGCAAAGTATATCTTGATGTTATTTTTTAGAATGTTTTTTGATTAAATCTTAAGATTTTTTACACGAACCACTCACTGACCTCATAATAGCGCGGTGCTGTCTTTGAATTTGAAATACTGCAACTGCGATGAAATCATTCACCTTCGTCGTTCTAACACACAAGATATATGATACGATTACATCGTTCGTTTTGTTCACTTATCATATAACACCCTATGACATCTGTTTTATTTATACATCATTCGTGTAAATTCAACGAAACCATCAACTAACAATACGTTGTAGTGTAAGTACCATCATACAAAACCATATTCACAGATCAGTTCTTATTCGATTACATTCACATGAAAGGTTTCAGTTTATTGTTGTAAGCATCAAGCACTACCAGTTCACTAGAATAGCCAATGTAGCTCATAAATCGGTAATCATTGATGTAATCTTTATGAATCATTAAAGTAAGCATCAACAGAAACGTGTTATGTTCTTGTGTCCTTGCTTATCGGTAGTGGTTTGTGAAAATTCACACTGTCATTGGATGCCGAATAGATATATGAACCATATTATAGTAGGGTAGGAAATTGACTCTTGCATAGTTGGTTTCCCTCATTTGAGGCTTATAATCGTCAAAAAGGATAATCATAGCAAGTTGATTACACAACACGTCGTCCAGCAGCAACCTCAATCGATCATTATTACCGTCAATTGAGTTGTATATGTGCTCGGGTATAATATGATAATTATGTGATTACAATACACTTGCGTAAACATATGTACTCGTTTGAAATTCTTTTGTTACGGTGAGATGATCAACGACTTTAAATGCATTCACGTCAATACACGGCACATCAATCATTACAATAATATCTGCTAACCCTTATCTCTTTGCTGAACTTCACTTTAAAATCTTCTTAAATTTTCTTCAATTCCAACATATTTCAATGTCAGCACCCTTCAACTGTACACAAATACAAATCTGTCTTTTGAAAATTTTTGCTCTTTTGAATATTTGCAAAGTCTGCAAGATTTCATCTCACATTATGGATTTTCTCATAACGAAGCAATTTTCTACTTGAATTTATCGTCTCATTGTCAGCGTTCCATTGATTTAGAGCTTAAAGCGATCATTCTATTCATATTGCTTGTTTACCTATTCAAAACTTGGTGTTGAGAATATATGACAAAAATTTTTCGAATAGATATTTTGAAGTGATAAATCAGAAGAGTCTAGTCAAGAGTTGAAAAACTTTATATGCTCCCTGGCTTGAAATGTGTTCATACAATCAATCAGAGCTGCTTCCTCATTGTTTCGCTCGAATATTCGTACAAATGTCGTAAAATGCGATAGCATCATCACCATCGAACATCATCAAAATCTCATGTTGTATCGACGGTGTACGTATTCGACAGTTAAACGTAATGCTGTTATAAGTGCTGGAATTGTTAACATCTGCGTGACATTTTATTTATTTTATCATTTCATCTTTCGCTTATTACTTTATTTAACGGCAATTTAATTGCGAATCGCCATATTGTGTTATATTGCCTTTTTATGTCGTGCATTCAACTCTCTTCATCGATCACATTTCCCAGTTCTTTTACCTTTTATTTACCTGTTTTTCTTCTTTATTTTTTGGAGGGGGAAGAGGGTAGGGGGGGGGGCAGAGGAAGAAAAGGATTTATGGTCCATAAACCGTAAACTGTTAACGTATAATTGACACTTTTATTTTAGGTGATCCGCGTTGTCTCAAGACATCTTCAAGTTAGTTATTTATCGATCTGTTTTTATTGAAAATAAAATGCTTTTTAATAATTGCTAAAATCTCAAATTATCCAACAAATGCCTATTTATTTACTGATCATATTCGGTTATCACTAGAATGCAACATACTCGAAATGGTTTCATTTTCTTTCCTTTCAGGGCCCTAATTGGAAAGAAGCCGCACGTATCTTGAAATGTGTTGTTCAGTTTAATAATATTGCGCTGAATGGCATAACTCAGGTTTGTTGCCATAATATCGTTTGCGAGCTTATCGTTAGATAACTCTTGACTGATCATCGCAGCTGGATGATTGCTCANAGTAGTAGTAGTAGTAATGAATTGTTGCTGATCATATTGAAGAAATCCGTCCATCGTTGTGGGAAAAGTTCCCGTGTCGTGCATACAAATGTAATATAAATATCGTTAATGAATTGTAAAAGTATCGCTCTCAATCGACGAGATGTTATATTTTGATAGAACATTTTCTTAGATCTGCGCCGCTCATATCTTAAATCTCAGTCGAAATCTGTTTTGAACACTACCTTTGATGCATTATGATTGGAATTTTTGTCATCCTAAATAAAGCATCAAATATCTGTTCATTCTTAGCAAATATTCGTTTAAGCATAATAATTGTTGAATTCATATTGACTTTTGAAATAATCATTATTGGGCATGGAACATGTAATGAAAATCACTCCGTTCTAGGAAGATGGCAATAAATCAGATGCAAACGGTATGATAGCTAGTAGTAAGTGTAGTAAAACGAAAACTTTGCAAGTTGAAGTGGCACTTGATGACTGCGTCGTGCCATTATCACCGAGAAAAAGTATTTTTGATAGTTGTTCGATGAGACGACATAATCTGAGTCAGGTATATTTTTCATTTTCATTATAACTCAATTGTAACCACCAAATTCCAAGCGGAATAGAATTTGCAATCTCATTGTTGTTGTTGTTGTCGTTAACATTCAAGAAATTCTTCCTTTGTGTCTAGTAACTTTTAAAGTCAAGTGAAATATACGTTACAGGTTTGGTCTTATTAAAATATTTTTTCTTGTTCAATAAACTGAAGCGTTTTGTCGCGATGTTAATTATTCGGCTAAATAATCACCATTCATTGTGATTGATATTTGACGTTAAGGCAAAAGTACGTGAACGATTGATAAGTTTGTTGAACGCATCGGGTCTTCGTGTCGGTTTGCCGAAGAGTGCATCGGTAATCAATTTTGTCCTTTTTTGAACTCATCAGATTCAATATCGTATTTTAATGTTTCCAGTCGCCTTCACTGTTGAAATTGGTGAATCTTTTCAAAACAATAAGGAAGCGAGATGCATTGCAGGTGATCTTCTCGCAATCCTCATACGACATAACGCACGAACAACCCGGAGGATCGATTTCGTCGTCTACCGAAAAGATAGCACTATCACATGGCGGTGATATCGATACAGCATCGTCGCTAGTCGCCGATCATTCTGTCACGGATTCGTTCCCTCGCGTGTTCAGGTCTTTCAGCAACTCTGTTNAATCAAAACGTTTAGATTAGGCAATTTGAAGTAGTTCCGAAATCAAAAGTCATTCGAACACAATAAAAACCGAAAGCGTTCCCGTTCAAACTTGTTACCTATTGATTCTAATCAAAAATTCTTGTTGAGTGAAATAATTTTTAAAATTTCAGAGAATTTGATTTCCTCGAAGCCGAACACGACAGTGTATCGGAATCAACAGAATCGTGCTTCAATTGGTTATCAACAATGCGACCGCATTCGATTAGTAATGTGGAGGAACAATATCAAGATGACGAATGTACTGAAACAAATACTGCGCAAAGGCGATCCTCTGCGGGTTTCTTATTTCATTATTAATTTGTCTCTTTTTTATAGTTGAATTTGATCACAATCAATTCAGTCTCAACGGATTGAATTGGAAAATTTCGAGTTGAAATGTGCGGTTTTGAATTGAAATGCATTTAGACTCATTTGAAGTGTCCAGTGAACGAACACCGTTACAATCCGAGACACGGAGTGAAACTACTGAAGAAGAGGAAGAGGAGGAAAGTTGCGACGAGGAAATTGAAGAAGAGGAATTTATTGTCGAAGAAGAACAACAACGGTATTTTCATTCGCTTTACATTTTGGCATTATCATGCATCTGCCATGTTTTGGGGCCGATAACTGTTTCCTACTGCCTGACGAGACGGGGAAATCAGCAAATTAGTTCGCTTCGCGTACAATTGAATTATTCAGTGCAATTTTAATTAAAGCGTGGCCGATGTGTCATCACTGGCCGAATCGATCCAGTGCAGTCGATCAGAGGTATCTGATGAATGTTTGTCACAGCCACAATCAACCACACAATTGCCACTTTTCTTGGAGTGTAATCACCATTCATCTGCTCAGGTATTTTATGTTACTTTAATCTGTGTTGCTTTTGTATTCATCGAGTATGTTTGATAATCTGCAATCAAATCTATCTTCATTATTATATGTCAATATAAAGATTTTATGAATCTTCTTCATTTTGTGTAATAATACTTTTATAGAGTGAACAGCAGTGGCTATCGACATTCGTGGAGATGAGTAAAGACGAGAAAGGTGAACTGACGGCACATGCCACTCTTCTTTTCTCGCAACTTTATCGAGTAAGTTATCGCCTTGAATAAAATCGATACCATTTTTGGCCATAATCCTTGAGAATTTCATCGAATCGAATTGAAATCCGACGTTGATCTGATATCCGTTCATTAACAGAGAAACAATCTCATTATGCCGCAAACTGAGATCCATTTATCACACTCTTTTGAAATCATTTCTCCTGAATTATTACGATTTTCTTAATCGATTCAATGCAATTGGACTTTTTCTCTAAAGAACTTATTAAATTGGCAAACAAAATTATTATTTATTGAAACCGATTGAAGTTGATTGTGAAACATAAATAAAGTCCCTCGATTGTGGGTAATGTGGAAAGCGAAATAAATGGATGCATATTATTGTTATGAATTATTATTGGTGATCTGACTGAATCGGGATATCTTTTTATTTGTTTAGTGAATGAGTTAATCTGAAGAGATTTCATGAAACCAATGATCATAGTGTGAATAATATGTTATTCAGCGATGATGTGATAACAGTAATACTAATATTAGTGGGAATTGTTAGAAAGTGATCAGCGATGAGGACATATCCAATGACACATAATAGCCGTTGTGATGCAATAGGCAATTGATTTGTCTCGATCGACTTTTCATCTTTGTGCTATAATCACGTGTAGTACCTAAACTCAAGAAAATATTTTAAGTACTTCAAGCGCTTAGCGTATCATTAATTCATTTGTTTATTTACCGATATTCTATTTGTTTGATTATTGTTGCGTCAACGTGTCTATTAGTTTGAGAATAGATAAACTTCTTTAAACAGTCATCTACCGTAATATAAACTTGTTGCATTACACATTAATATATTGATTATTGTGTCGTGTGGCAGAATATGGTATGAAAACTTGCTTTGTTTGCGTTGTTCTGTTTCACTATTACACTTATTACAATATTTGTCGAATACAGCAAAATCTATAGGTTCATGATATTTTACCCATTGTGTTAGCATCTCTTGCCACATCTGAAACTTCTGGGTTCTGTTTTTTGACCAAAGAATATGGAGAGACTTCCGATGTTTTGTTTTCTCTTCGAATTGATCCTCAGACATGACACAATCGCATAGCGGAGAAGTAATATTCCCTTGCCGATATGTCATTCCCATTGCATTTATTGTAGATTAGGTATTTTTTTAAGTAGAGATTATTGGTTAGCGGAATTTGTAGGATCTCACGAATTCATAAGTGGATAATTTGTTTATAAACTCACTTCGTTGTATATTTTATTCTAGACTTATTATATGTGTAATTCAATGCTTTAGTACTAAATTCAGTTGGTAACAGTATAAGGATAGGTGAAGTGATATGTACGTGTAGAATATTTGTGATTGTTGATGAACGAAAATATTCGATGACTTTTGATGGTGAGATGAATTTGAGTAGATTAAGTGTACCTTAAATGGCATGTATCGCATTACAGCGTCAGAGTGATTTTGGTGCTTGAGCAAATACAGGCTTAAGCACTAACAATAGTATACATTAGACGTTGTGCCCAAGCAGCCATCAACCTCAGTATTTGTTTGCAATGTTCTTCATTTCAATGTTGTTCTAATTCCAAATCTAATTCCTCTGATACTTCAGTGTTACTTCAGATTCCCTCTATTTAAGCTACCTAATTTGATCCTTAAACAAATAACCGCACCAAATTTGTGAATGCTCACTCTTCGTCGTATTTCACATCGCACTCTTTCCGATCGCTAATTTATTTTGCAATCTATCGCTAACCCTACATATACTCGTACTCTTCTCCTTGTCTTTTCAATTCTCTCCTCTAATTTTATTCATCCATCGAAATTCCCAAACTTGTCAGCCAAGAAAAATTCGTTTCAATTCCTTTGTGCACGACACAATTTTTGTAATAAAAAATGAAGATATAAATGGATATACTATGGCAAATAAGAGCAGAAATTCGAAAGTATTTCGTTGAGAATAAAGTTAAAACTTGTTACTCATCAAGTAACAGTGGCTGGAAAAGTGATCTGATAACACAAAATAAGGATTACGATTTATACACTGATATGTGTGTATTGACAAGGCACGGATGTCATCAAAGCCTTTCGTTTGATAAAATGAGCAGTAAAAATTCATGACAAGTTCAGGGTGACTGAGTATTCTTATTAAGTATTCTTATTTGTCACACTCGAAAAGTTTTAGCAATAGGTATTATTCCATACCAGTAAATGGCTTTTCATCAACACATGGTCTCGATTGTTTAATGAAGTTTCAGCGAAACAAGTCAAAATTCCAACAAGCTAATCGTTAGAATTTCTCGCATTCGAAATTAATGAGAACCGAGAATGAATCCCTGCTGAATGAATCAACACAGACGCATAATGTGCCCTGATGTTCTACCGGTGGTTGTCTGTTTGTGTTTGTTTAAGAGATTAATGACAGAATTCTTTACAGGAGTGTTGTGTAAAGCTATCAGGTATACTGCGTGATGCATCGCATTTGATGTCAGCTCCTCATCGAGATATCTCAACACTATTTGCCGACGCTCTCGATCTTGTCCTGAAAATATCCGATTGTCCTTTTCTGTTCGTCACTCCTCAATATGTATGTCCAAATAAACAAATCAATTATCATTTTATTCATTTGTTTATTTCATTAGTTCTAGTAATGCTACCTGTGTTTACCGTCTCATTTAGCCTGTATGCCCATCGACTTATGCCAATAATTATTCAAAAATTCAGTTGGGCTTATGTGCTCTATTATCGACTCAGAAATGCGTGTTGTTGGAACTAAACGAACATTACGAGACGTTCGTTGAAAGGAAGGAGCAGTGCATACGGGTAATTGTTTTGTTCCTTTCATTAAAAGCGTTTCGTTTTGGTAAATGACAAAATTTTGTGTTGCTGTAAATCATTTAAGTGTCACTCTAAAATATCAGTCCTTCTATGAAAAATAAATCTAAACTTCTCAAACAAAGCATTGAAAAAANAAAAAAGTTATATATACGTATTTTCATTATTTTGTAATATACGTTCGTTAGTTTGATATCTTGTTTATGTGCTTTACCGTTTTGAACACTCTCAGTTCTGGTGCTTAGTTTGAAATTATTGTTGAATAATATTTGTTTTTGTTTGTTCCTATTTGGATGCACCAAATTAATATTTTCATAAAAGTATGCGTAAGAATATTTGTTTATCTAATTGGATCGGTGAAGAATGATCATTTCATTCGTTCGTGGTGATTTCTGTCAACTGGATAGAATGAGGATGAAAAGCAAAGGAGTATAATATCCCTGTCTTAGAATTCAACGTTTACGATCTGCTAAAATAGAAAGACAATAACGATATTGAATGATCGTTTTCAGAAAGATTGTTTGGTGAGTAGATGAATGTGAAGTGGTGTAATGGTGTCATTATGAACGTTGTTAAGTTAACAATAACAATTGAGTCGTGAACGAGTAGTCATTAAATAATTGGATGCAGTTTCGATTCTGAATGTGATGATGGCATTACACAATAGCAAAACAACAGCACATTTCTATATTAGCAGCTTGCATTCATCAAACTGCGTACCACACATATCATTAGCATTTCCTTGAGTTGATTCCGACTTCCGCATCTCGATACTGCTGCCGGTCGTTTTATGTGTTTGCGTTGATGACAAATCAGATGAGATCACTGATGTCGGAATGAAATATCGTGTCACAGTGGCTCACCCGTATAGTACCGTTCAAATAGCGCGTTTATTGCCTCACTCTCGAAAGCCCTCTCGAAGCTGCACTACTCGCTGCTACTGACTGCTGCTATTATCCGCATACATCTTAAGCGCGCAGTTTCCTGAAGTCATTTCCGCCATATTCGATGCTTATTTGTATGTTTATGTGTGTATTTGCATGTTCATTATGCACCATTCATCCGCTTTTAATGCGATACATTTCAAGATATTCGACCAAAAAGTGTGTTGTATTGTGCACATATCACTAAATGAATGTCGTGCATTCAGTTCCATTATTTCCTTTTCGTATTAAATTCTTCACAATCGCATCATCCACTTCTTGTTCTTTGCTTCCTATCGATACAGTACCACTCTGATGATCACACACACACACACGTTACACTCATCACCTACACTGATTTCATGATTAATATGCACAGTGCTTTTGCCCTAATACCTTCTCTTTCGTGAAACCATTATATCAGCAACATTACAACTTAAAATAATTCGATCAAGTTTTACTCCAAAATGGGTACTTCCATCGTTCATTTGCTGAACATTTTAGCTTTTAAATGATTTATTTGGCAATCGTTATGCTCAATTTAAGACCAGGAATGGTTCAATTCGTTGCAACTGATTATTTTTATTGTAGCATGCAAATACGTTAGTCACATCAATCAGCGGTATTTTTTCAGTCACTCAATGCCGTGAAAGCAACCATGAAACTGGTGATGATCGGTGGCTCCACATCATCTGTCAGCAACACTCAGGTTGCGTTCATTTTTTACCAACGCTTTTGACGTTAATCCGTGCATATTCCAATGAAAAATTCATAGTTGTTTTATTTTCATTTCCGATGTTATCAATCTTCGCTCGCTTGTCCGCTTGAGTTGTCATATATTTGACAGGCAAATCTGCATCGTTTTCTAGCCTCGAAAGTATTTTTTGCGGGGAGAATCGATCTGTGATGTGCCACAAATTTTTTAAACTTTTCGTAAACGCTACAATTTTTTTGAGCTTTTCGCAAGAAAATGGTCATTTGGATCAATATTTTGTTCCAGTAACTAACTGAAAATTTCAGTATTTGGAATTATGCAAAAGTGTGCATAAACTATTCTTCCAATTACTGTTGATGTCGGATAAATTGAACGAAATGATAAAAGGAATCGAAAATACGAATGAATCGCAGGTATATTTTCTCAGTTGCTTTTTGAGGAATCGTCGTCTCTTCTGCACTACTGTTCCAATCAGTAAACTCAGTGCCATTGCAATAATGTTTAATCAGCGAAAACGATGTGTTCAAAATCGATCTGAGAATAATCGCATATTGTACACATCCCCTCGGATTGTGTTTATCTGCATACAACAAATGTGATCTATTATAATAAAATCATATTATAATCAGCTTGATTACGGTAGTGGAATTAGCGTTAAGGATAAGGATATTCGTTCATTGAGTTGAGATGAGAGGAGTGCGACGATATAGAAAGCAATTTGAATACACGAATGATGTTTTATGGTTACGTATGTATAGATGATGAGAATAGGAGAGATGGCTAGATGCGAAGTTGATGTAAATAAAAATTATAATTGGAGAGGTGAGTGACACATTGAGCGATAAAATTGTCACGAGTAGTTGCGATTATAGACACTTATTGGTGTGGTGGTGTTAGGTTGGTGTGTGTTGGCGAGAAGATTAGAGTACGAGAAGGATTTGCTTTGATACACTCTTCTGTCGATACTCTTTCAATCTCTACAATTCCTTCACTCAACATTTACGTTAATATGTGCATCGAAATAAATGCACTCACTCTCTTGCATCAACTAATCATCTATGCATATCTATCTCTACTAACTATACAGTTACGGTAATCAATTTATTCCACAAACAAATTTGCATCGCATTCAGTTTTTGTGATTGGCAAATCAAATCGACACAAGTTTTGATCGTACTTTGTGATGAATTGTTGGTGATAGGTGATCATTGCATTTTGCAACAAACAGTGATATGTGTGAAAGTTGTTCAATGAATCAATTATGATTGCGGGCAGAAAATTAGGGAATGAGTAAAGTTTGAATGCACTTCGATGTTGCGATGTGTTTCGAAAAGCATTCATGAACAGTGAATTGAACAACATGATTCAAAACTTGGGAATGGGAAGAACATCGTTTTATCAGTGAAATGGTTGTATCATTATAAGACAAGATGTGGCCCTTAACGGATCATTCAAATCAGTTTTATCGATAATTACGGTGTTAATTGTGATTGTTGATGGAACAAAAGAATGATTTTTGATGGTATCTATGCCGGAATGAGTATTTTGAAGTGTTACATTGAGGTAGTTGTAGGAAGTGTGTAGACACACAAACAAACACGAAAAGAGAGGAAACACGTGAAGGAAAGGTTCGAAGCTGTCGATAATTTTGAAACAGAATTGTGAAGGGAGTGATGGGGTTGTCAAATCATAATGCGATGCAAACGTATAATAAATAATAATTACGAGCGTATAATGACAGTTGTATGCCGTAATAGTTCGGATGGTAGTTGATATAGATGAATGCAACGAACTTTACGATGCTATGAATGGGCATGAGAAGATTATGTTATACGATGATGTTGATAATAGGTTGTTTTATTTAGTAGTATACGCAAATCAATCATTTCGCCGTATTATTTGCATGTGATCGACAGAATTTGATTGATTATAACTTATATAATACGTTGTAATAATAATAATAATAATAATAATAAGAACGATGGTAGTAATTATGATGGTAATAGTAATGGTTACATGAAATGAATGTTTTTAGGATTTGGATATGTCAGCAGAGGTGTTGTGTTTACACAGATGTTTATTGGCAAGTATACCGGATTCGATGCATAGTTCTGATAATTTGAACACATCAACACGTTTAGAGCCTAATTACGATTCATTACTGGTTGCCTTACAGAAGAAACAATATAAAAATGCACTTCATACTCTCAGACAACTGAGGTTTGTTGTTTCATTCGACATGTTATCAGTTAACAGAATAGAGTTACTGTTATCATTTGAATTTGCTCAGATATCTCAACAAGTAACGAATATTTATATGCATTCATTGAAATATCGAGTTCGCAGTCAACCAAGACAAACAACTGCAATTATTTGATGGTGTTTGTTAGTAATGTTGAGAGGTTCAGTGTTTAAACTTTGTTCAGGACAGAGCAAAAATTTTTCGTACTTCTTCACGAGATTACCATTTATCTTCATTTTGTAATGATACGATTCGTTTTTCTTATATCTCTCTCCTTCAGATATTTTCTTTTTTCATTTGTTCGTTCTTCCAAATCTGATATTATATCCCTTGTGTTGATCTAACTCTTTCATCTCTGTTTTATGCCATCTTTTTTCATTACATTTCCTATCCGATTTCAAATCTTTTAAAGAATTTTTTTCCAAAGACTATTGAAGCGTTACAGTGATTAGTGCTCGTTGTGTGGAGTGAAATAGTTTCAGCACCTCATACGTAATTTGTCTCAGTACGATTTTTTGTTGCCTTTTATTCAAACTTTGCACACTACCAAATTAACACTCTTGACGTTTTGTTATTCTGACAATACATATAGATATGCCCTTTTTGTTATATTTCGGATTTGTTTGGGTAAAGTCAGAAATTTGGTGAATTTCCAATCAGATACGTACTTCATTCTTTCCAGCTCTAAGGCAGATCAGCTCAGTTTCTGAAATCGATTCAATAGTTCTGCAGTCAACTCGAAAAATAGGTGCATTTCATCACAGATCGCTCAAAGAAAAGTCCATTGTCAAATTTTGAACCGCGCTGATCTTATCTCGTATATAACAGAAGTGTTTGGTGACGATCCGTTTCAAAGCATGATTTTACGATTGGTTCAGTTCACTGATTGATCGTTGAGTCTAAAATGTAAATAACTGAATGTAAAATAATTTTGAAGCAACGGCGAAAATGTGAAACTTATCAAAACGATAATATCATATTGCATCATTGACGGACGGATATAATGTTCGGCCCAAAAAATGGAATTGAACTGAAAGAGATAAATGCGAATCGAGTTAATTGTTCGAATCGTTTGATGACGACGATCAACATATGTGAGATATTAAAAATTTAGAGATAATATCTACTCAAATTACCGATCGCATTTCATCATCACATCGATGCAGCAGCAGCAGCATCTTTCCATATTCGAATACTAATAACGCAATACATCAACGGCTCACAATTACGATCGCAGTAGCACAATGCATCACCTCATATCATATTCTCTTTCATGTCGCATTTCATAAAGAATCATTAAGATTTTATATTCCATTTCATACGTCCAACGCATTCACTCCATTCGACATTCGAACATTAATTGTCGTTAAAATATCCACCTCATTTAAATGNATCATTTCGAGAAACGAAATGATAATAGTGAAGCATCGACTAGTCTATCGAAATGAATTGTTCTCGACTTTAATAGTTCTTGACTGGGTATTTGTTTCATGTTATGAGATACATTGAAGAGACATTACGATTATTGTTGCATATTATCTCCGTTGCAATCAATGAGCGCCATCTTGGAGCCGTAGTGTTCAAAATGTGATCAGCAGATCACCTTTGTGGACAAGATATTCTCATATAAACAGCAATCACAGGACGTGTAAAATCATTAATTACTCATATAACAAGATCTATATCATTTAGATCGCATCTTCATTGAGTTGCTCCCTCGTTATCCCACTATAACACCTTTTTATCCGCACATCAAATCCATCATTTCACTCCACAACAATTCTCGTAGAGGCTCTTTTGCAAGTCTGAAACACCAGCACAATCATGAGTTTTAATTTCCGTATTAATATTTTTATGAAAGTCATTAACGGAATACTTTTTTCTTACCGTTTCACATGCTTATGATAACTCTCAGAATGCATCAAATTTTACCTTTTTTCATTGAGTTATCATACATGAATGTTGCATGATCTGAACGGTCATGTCACTGAAAGCATATAGTGAATAATAAAATATCAACTAATTAATGACACTTCTGTGATATTCGTTTTTCTGCTAGAACTTCGAATTTTTTTCCTCAAATGTCCTCAAAATGAAGCTCCACAATGATCATTCGCACCATTTTTTGCGCAAGTGATCATTTCTCTAACTAGTTTCAGCATTTAAGGCTATCAGTGAGATGGTCATGAAATTTAAGCTTTTCAAATCCTTCAGCTAATTGTAAGCTTTCTTTTCAAAAGATCTAGTCAAGAATAATTGATTCAGAATATCGTTTCCTTTTTTCCTCAACT